TGTACGGGAGTGATTCACGCAATGGTGCGAATAGTCACGGCCTTTTTTAATAGAAATTTTTCTATTGCGAGAACTCATTCACTCCATTCAAAATGAGTAAATTCTAATGCTTTATACTTCTGCGCCCGAGTCATTAGGTAAGGCCATATTCAACGAATGTAATGCAGACCTCGTCTTCGGCTAAAAGCCTGTAAATTATTCTTACATTCGTGAAACATACCCTTTTCCATCTATTATTTACGTAGCTTTCCCCGCCACAAAGTAATGGTGAAGAAAGATGGTTTTTTATTCTCGTTGAGCTATGATAATGATTGCGTACTTTCTTTATTTATTCACTGTTTTTAAGCTCGCAAAGTATGGTGATTTATGGTGATGAATATAATACTATGCTCGAAATTGCAACTTTCGCAACTGCAAAAATTGTGAACGAATTCAGTAAGACGATTTTTGTATCCATTCGCCAAAAATTTCATTTGCATACTAAAAGATATCAAAGAAATTGTAAAATAGAGCAATGTAACAAAGCACTATGCGCAGACGGGCAGAGCGCATTCCTATCTAATAAGAGACTAATGATTATTATTTTTTTATTGTCGGAGCCAAGAGCCGAAGAAAAGAACAGAAATTTTTTTAAGGAGAAGAGACTTCTTAGTTTACCCTATCAATGGATACAGTGGAGTTCACATTATCGACACTTACAGATCCTTTCCAATTTTCTTCAGAACATTCTCCGTCCGAATGTCAGTAATAATGATAACAACGAAGGTAAAATTCCCAAGTTATAATGAGTAATTTTGTAGAAAGGGTTTTTAAGGGTTCATTTCCTTTTGTAGCTGGAGTAATATTCGCTACACGTACTCAGGGCACCCCTCTGACGCAGACTCACGCCGCAGGTGGTAGTGGCTATGCAGGAGCCACTTAGTTACTCGGCAAACACTGTACAACTACTTCTGTATATTACGTTGAGGGAGTAATACTCATTGTGATGAAACAGTAAAGTGAATTATTCCGGAGCCTCTGTAAATTTTTGAAACCCAACCTTGAAAAAATTTTTGGTTTCATTTTATAGTCGTATAACAAAATTTAATCTCTGGCGTGTAAACCGGTGGGAGTGAAGAGGTTTACTTCGAAAAAAATCTGAGATCCATTTAATGTCAGGTATGACGGTGATTTTAGATCTTCAAAATTTAAAAATTTCTAGGATTTTTTATATTTTTAGTTTATTAGTTGGCAGAATTTAAGGAATACACAGGAAGAATGGAGCGAATGGGCAACTTCAGACTAGGGATGGCCATCAATATTAATTTCTTCAATATTAAAAGCATTTTTCCGACTTACATATAGATCAAGGTTTACATATACTAATAGAAATTTAGAAATAGTAAAATAATTGATAACCTAAATTTCCAATTGATGATGAATTCAATATTTAAAAATATGGACCTAAAATTTTCTACTAAATATGATAACACTTAATTTCTTATAAGGAATGTCTGATTATCCAAATAATCGTTAATCTCCCTACTCCAATTACCGATTAATGAACAATTCAAAATTTGACTATTTAAATTGATGATTACTTCGATAATTAGAATTTGAAAGTGATATTCACTGATTGACTACTTGATAATTTAACAGTAATTACAATTGATGGATATCGCTATCGCTGCTTCGGACTTTTTCTCGAATGTTGAATTTTTGATGGGATGAGATCTTTACTTTTCTATCAAGAATATGCTTCTCTTCCTTGCCAATAAGTCTAGACTCAACGCAATTGATCAGTTATTTTTTATTTTCTGTATCTCCTACAACAATCCACCCAACAATCCAATCCCAGAACAATCCATGACCGTGATGCTGATCCTTTCGCTAGTTAAAAAAAAATGGTTTTTCATGTTTCACTTAGAAACTAGGACTTTATTTGTTGATACAAATAAATTTGATTAGCTCCAAATAGTATATTTTGTAACGAGTGCAAAAAAGTGTTTTTTGACGAGTGGGAGGTTTATATCACGAGCCGAAGGCGAGTGATATAATCCCACGAGCTAAAAAACATTTTTTCACGAGTTACGAACAATATTTTTCATCACAATATGGCGGAAATTGGAGTTTTAGGCACGCGAAGCGTGCCGAAAAGTTCACTTTTCGTCACAGCGTGATGAAATAGTATATTTCGTAACGAGTGCAAAAAACATTTTTTCACGAGTTACGAACAATATTTTTCGTCACAATGTGGCGGAAATTGGACTTTTAGGCACGCGGAGCGTGCCGAAAAGTTCACTTTTCGTCACAGCGTGATGAAAAATAATTTTTAACCGGAGATACTCTCTAATATTGCCTGAATTTTGAATACGAATGGGAAATTTTTTTTTGTGCAGCGGTTGGTTTTCTGCAGGAAAACAATAGAAACCCCTCCGCCTCACCTCCTACATTTCCTCCTCGCCCGATTATCCTTAAATCGAATTCAAGGTCTTTTTCCGGAAAATTTAGCCAGATTGTTTGAACAGTGTGTCACAATAAGTACGGAAAGACGAATACCTCAATTTCGGTACAACCAAATCGCGGGATCACCATCGTATTATCAGAATCATCTGAACTCGCAAAAAATTGAACTTCAATCACTGAATTATGGGTCATGCTCAAAATACAGAAAGCACGAGTCAATCTACGTCTTTAATCATCTTCCATAACTCACCGCGTTTCCTTCACGTACAACATCCAATTATACCGTCAACGTCACTATCATTTCATTGGTAATTAGGCCGAGTTAACGAATTTATACTCACATCAAGTGTTGTTTCCATGAAGATGCAGAATTAATGGAAAGTAGAGTGGGAATGAGAGAATGAATATACCCCTATTCTATGCCTCGAGAGGGTAGCATGCAATTTCCGGTTGTTCTACTGGGAGAAAAGTAGGGTGTAAAATGGATAAACTGGAGCGAAAGCTTGCTGTCGTAAATTAAAGAAAAAAAAACTTTTTTTCCCTCTTTCCTATTTCTGGTTTCGTAGTTAATGGGTTTCATTGAGTTCCAATATCAGTTGATTTTGCACTTGATTTCTCCGAAGAAAAAAAACAGTCGTTAAATTTCCTCGGAAAATCGAGAAGTAGAGGAGACACGTTCATTTGGAATTCAATTAACTTTAGAACTGAAATTAGGAATATTCATTTTCATGAAATGGGCTAATCATATTGCCACTGCCCCACACGGAGGCACAGAAGTAGCCAGGGCATTATCAATTTTTTTCAGTTACACTAGATACCGAGTCAAAAATTCCGTAGAATGCTCCAATTTTTGTCGAGCGGTAGAGAGAAAAGTCCCAAGTTAAAGTGACATTTTCTGAAAAAGAGTGATACTTTTCTAAAAATGAAAACTTTTTTTTCTGTGCAGTTGCAAATATTTGAAGAAGGGAGTATTTTATATAGACGGCTAATGATTATTTCCATTTATGTAATACTCGGTCGATTGAACACACCAAGCAGTTATTCTACAATTTTTCTCGGGGTTCACATATTTTATCTTCCTTGATTAGCGATTACAGGAGTCGAAGAACCAGAGAGATGAAGTCAAAAATTAAATTAATTTTCCCTATACTTTAATTCCTATTAAATGACCGGACACGCGATGGTAATAGCAAAGGAAATAATTCTGGAAAATGTAACCCACGATAATAACGCGAAAATCAGCACAAATAATTATCCCCAATTTACTAATTAAATTCCTACTAAATCTCTAGTTAGATATAATCAATAAACTTAAAAGGAATCGGAACGAAGCGCAATGCAGAGCAATATACGCACCGAGAATTTCCTCGAATTTCTAACGCAATAATCCAAGCACTTGAGAGAAAAGAAATTCCTTCAGCTCGGATTATTAAAGAGAAAAGATCGCGGAAGTCAGATATCTTCTTTCATGTTCCTCCGGGTTGCGAGTTAGGTGTAACGCAGAATGTGAACCTGTCCCTCCAAGCCAAATTTGAAAAGAAAATTGAAGGTATAATTCAACATGGAATCAACACAAAATTCATGGCTTGAAAATTACCAAGCGTACAATATCTCACACTCAGAAAAAAAATCTTACGCCAAGAAATTTTATACTTGTCCGGAAGATGAGGGCAATTGGTTCATATCAAGAAAACGAGTTCTCAAATCAATTCAAATGGTGTTTGCATTAAAATATTTTAGGATTGAGGCTGAAAAACTGGATTTTTTGTGTTAATTTGTTGTGAACGTTAAAATGGCCGAGACGCACGAAATGGCCTGGGAAAGGAGGAGAAATTTTGATATTAATGCAGGCGGTTGGAAAAATAATTCAGCCACATAGAACTATGAGCGCGGAGCTTATGCATAAAACCTGCACAGTGAGTGCTTACAGTCCACCCAGTGTTTGCTGTGTGAAGACAATTTTTTTAATTACCAGTCTAGGAATACAATTAATCCTATTGTCTGATAAATGATGCGGGTTGAGAAAATGAATTTCAAAAATCTATTTGTTTATTTCCAACAGTAAAAACTTTTTTTACTCTCTGTGTGGAGAATTCAGCTTTAATACACGTTTTGAAAATCGTCAAAGGTGTGTCAAATACTGGATCAATGTCGATAACACATGCATTGATGTTAAGGAGAATGAAAAAATCAGAACTTGATTTGATGGCAAGGTAAATTGAAGAATATGTGCACCGGTGAAATTTTTATGATGCCGGGTGTTTGGAGTCACGGGGTGAATTAATGTCCTCAGAGCATACGAGAAAAACCGAGCGTGTGCACATCCAGTCAGGATTATTAGAGCGAAAGTAACCGGAAAGAAACCTTATCATTTGCAGGAGCGAAACTACAGAGTCTCTGGTTTCATATTCTATACCATATTTGCTACAGTATCAGTGGGAGATGCAGTATTCAGAGGGAACCTAGGCACCTCATTCCTTACTTTTCCTCTTCTCCTTGCGAATTTTATGTTTTGTTGAAAAATGAATGGAGATGGACATGTTTAATGCATTTACCTGAGCATCTGCGAGGATGCGCCTCATTAAGGCCAAGGTGGGGTGCGTTGAAGCTCCATCCTCATTAGCAAATCCTTCACCCTCTTTGCTAAGTCGATTCAGGCTCTTGAGTGCTGTAAAAAAAGAATTATTTTTGATTTAATAAAAATCAGGAGAGGAAAAATATGTTGAGTTACTCCAATAGCAAAGTGGCAAAACAAGATAAGTCACTAACTTGATTCCAAAAACAGTGACTTTCTCATAAAGATCTTTTTTAATCTAAGAGTAATGAACGTAGCTTTACGAGATGCCATTAGCTCTTGTCAACTTCACCATAGTTTTCTTGAATTTGAAAAGAAATTCATGAACTCATCTCCTCTACCACTTCGCTGCAAGTCAGGATTTATGCTGTCTCAAATTCATTTTGAATTGCTTAAATGTGATACAATAGATAATTAATTTAATTCCCTCACCATTAACCCCGTAATGGATTAATAAACTATATAATGACCATCAATCACAGAAACCGCCAATATTTTATTGTGGTAAACCATCACCAATTACCGGTTCCAATTCCATCTACAGCTATGAATAGACTGCGATTGAATAGGCAAGGTTAGCCCAACTACTATACATCTGCAAAGCGGGAGTCAGTGGCCCCGTCGGAGGACGCTCGATAACCCTTGCCTCGCCGATGTTTCGGTATAAAAAAGACGAAGAGAGGGGTATACGAGTAAAGAGAGCACCATAGAGGAAACTTGGCCGCCAACAAGCCCATCCGGGCATGCACAAGCTCCATTCGCATTATCTTATACTTGATGTTTGAGCGTGGACGATAATTGGATTCCCCGAGCGTCTTGTGAAAGCCGCATGGCGAAGGAGTGGAGGGGAATCTGTTGAACGAGGGAGAGATGGGCATAAGGGACTTGGTTGTGAGACGATAGTCAAAGCATTATCGACAGGCCTCTGAGGAACTGCTTGAATGGTTAGTGACTTTGGCAGTAGTTTAGCTATCACAGGAGTGCATTAATTCCGTGGACCAAAGATGCTACGTCAGGAAAAATAATGACACCAGTGGAACGGGAATTTTTCCTGCGCGAAGGAGAAGAGTTGTTATTTTATTTCCAAGGAAAGTTCATTATGAGTTACAGGATAATTTCAAGAGGTTGTTTCATACGTTGAGCACACAAATTTACTGAATTTAATGAGACAGAACAAAGTATTTTCAATTAATGCATGAGTCTCCTTCAATCCAAATTTCTGAGACATGAAAAGATTTAGTATATTTTCATGACAAATCCTTTCCATAAGCACGTTTATTGAAAAGGTAATTTGATAATATTTTCAAAAACACTGATTTATAATATTTATTCATTTTCGTCATCAACTATTCAGTAAGCTTTTCCTCCCCGTATGAAATGTGAAGGTTGATACGCCCTTGACCATCTATTTCCATCCTTATGACCCAGCGAAAATGATATTTTCCATAAAAGAATATTGAGTCCATAAGATGTATGGGCATAAAGTCACGTAGGTACCTCGCCCACATGTAAAATAATGTGGTAAACGTGAAGCTGCCAACGATATGTAGGGCTGTAGGGGACTGGAAAACCCATGACCACAGTGTGTATATAATAAAGAGAGAGATAGAGTGAGACAGTAAGATAGCTAGTTCGCTCGGCATGTTCCAATAAACCCAGCAATACATTCTGTTTCGGTGGCACAGTTGGCATTTCTCCTACACCAATTTACTCGTCAGTTGTGATGGAAAAAAGTAATTTTTACTTCATGCAAATAATCCAGGGGAAGAGTATAATTAGATTCTGAGATAGTGGTTGAAAACTGGTCAATAGTCAAAATTGACTTATCTCCTTTCACCACTTCGCTACTGATACACGGAGAGAAATTTTTGATAAAAATTATCCTACCGTTCTATAAAAGTGTATCATGAGTCATCATTTCCTCATTTCTATCCCGACATTTAGTAAAATAGTATATTTCGTAACGAGTGCAAAAAAGTGTTTTTTGGCGAGTGGGTGGTTTATATCACGAGCCGAAGGCGAGTGGGTGGTTTATATCACGAGCCGAAGGCGAGTGATATAATCCCACGAGCTATAAAACATTTTTTCACGAGTTACGAACAATATTTTTCATCACAATGTGGCGGAAATTGGACTTTTAGGCACGCGGAGCGTGCCGAAAAGTTCACTTTTCGTCACAGCGTGATGAAAATTAATATATGATGATCAAATTTTATTCTACGTTTGAGAAATGTTATCCTGACGCATAATAAATTTTACCCTTCCGGTCCAATAATTTTTATGTAGATAACAACGAAAATTCTAGAACGGTTGGTAAGTTGTACCCTACCGGAACAGTAATTTTTACTCTGCCGGCACGGCAATTTTTATTTTTATCAGAATAAAATTTCCCCAACGTAGAATAAAATTTGATCATCATATATTAATTTTTACTAAATTGCGGGATAGAAGTGAGGAAAGGATGACTCATGATACACTTTTATAGAACGATAGGATAATTTTTATCAAAAATTTCTCTCCGTGTATATTCATACATGACCGTATATGAATGTATATCACAGATATATAATTCATACATGAAATAACATTCTTCAATATATTTTACTCTATATTGACATATACATGGAGACATATATTGCATATATATGACAAGTATATGAATCATATACACGACATATAGTTTGACTCTGTTTCAATCACAGTGTTGTGGAATGCTTGCCACCCCGACGGCAATATATTTATTTCCATGGAAGTATTTTTGACATGACTCATTTCACCTCTCAACTCCTGAATTACCCTTTACTTCTCATTGAAATTTTTACATCACCATCCTGCTAAATGCCTCACCTTCTTCATAGGGCTGGGCTCGTTTCGCAAATGCCCTAGAGAATATACCTCGTGACTTGGCGGTGTCCACACTGTTATCGATAGCTGCGCTCATTTTTTTTATTCATTAATGTTTATTTTCAGATTTTATTTCTTCTTCCATCCTCACCAGTGCCCTTTGCTAGTCAAGTAATTCCTGCACACGACGGGTACATCTGGAAGGTAGATTTAATCTTCAGAAACGATTGTCTTCAAATGTGAGCACCCTGGAGTCTTCTCCTTATCCTTTTTCATTTGGGAAAAGAATAGCTATTGAATATTGAATTTTTCAGAGACAGAAGAGATGGAGAAAATTGGAAAAAAGGATTGAATATTGAAAGAAAAATGGATTTAAAAGACTGAGGATGTTGTCAAGACAATCAACTGTTGGCTGAGGTTGTCTTCGATTGTTATCGTTTTTGATCGAAAAAAAAGAAAAAAAGTCTGATGTTTTGATATTTTCCTTGAAGAATGCTATCGTGTTTCCACATAGGGTTTCATTTTCAATGTGAATAGCTCAAACTTATTCGTATAATTTCCAACCACCGGGAGAGGTTGTGTGTTTACATTGTGACGACGGGGAGATACGGCATCCGGACGACGAAGAGCCTCGCCAGGGTTCAGGGGTGCCTTTTCAAGCTGTAGGGAACCGTCTGTCTGCGTTATATGACATTTTCAATGTGCCAGGTTCAGAATGGAAAATGGAGAGTAGAGGAGACGTCGAATGTCACTGACACGAGAAAACCCGTGGTGCATATTGTTCAAGGTGAGTCGAGACACTTCGTTCTTATTGAATAATACTGGAGGAAAGGTAATTTTCATGAATTTCTGGGGTTGAGAAAGAAAATCTATTCTTGGTGGAAATTTAGAATATCAGTTTCTTTTCTTTTTTGTACATATTGTTTCAAAGTAAAGGTCGAAATGAGTAATTCGTTAGAATGGACGATTTTCCTTTGGAGCAGATTTTAAGTAGCGGAGCTGGTGCCTGTACCGGAAATTTTTTCTTTCTTTTTTTATTATGCAAATATTTGATAACAACAAGTAATTTCAACAGAAATTTTCAATTTTCTACCGTGGAAATATCGTTAAAAAAATCTAAATCATTTCCTACCGAATTCTTCAAATATTTCGACCCCAGAATTCGAGATTTTTCAAATTCCCAGTTGGTCCATACTTGAATGGAGTGCAATCTACATCCACTATGACCTTCTCAATACATAGTAGAAAAATATCTTCATTAGCCTCCGCGTTTGTGGGTAATGCCGCCCAAGGTATCTATAGGGCTGCTAAATTCTGCAGATAGAGAGCAGTCAAGTGACAGCTCGATTGTTTGGTGTAGTCGGTGGCCACTGGAAAATGGGGTCAGTTCAGGATAATTTATTATCATTCATGAAGGATGAAAATAGGAAAAATTATAACAGTTGGTCTGCATTGCTCAAAGTCATCAAAACACGGTGGGCGGTACTGGCCGCATGCGGGCGGTATTATCCTTAAAGTTCGATTTCGTCGCTCACTGCCCGATGGCAATTGACACAGTAAAAAATCCAGAGTGAATTTCGACTCTGAGTCCACACCAAACGGAGTGAAAATAAGTTCACACCGTTTTTCGGTGTGAATGTACGGAGTTAATCCATTCCGCAGTAAAATGCAGCGAGTGGAGTGAAAATTGACACTACCATGGTGTCAAAATGAACATATTAATCAACACGGTTCGGTGTGAAAGATAAAACTTGACTCCGTCCCAGATGTGACTCCGGGCGAGAGAGTCAATTTTAACACCGGAATATTTAACCCTCCACACCAGAGACGGTAATACCCAATTTGTTTTTACTGTGGAATTACATAATTAAATATGTTTAATGTTAGTAAAAAATCTGTCCTCTTTACATCTTCGAGTAAACACCTCGAAGGACCCATTCTAACCGTTTATGACTCCTTGTAGAGCGCGAGACTGGAAAAAAAGACTCGTTTCCCTTAGGTGGGCGGTAAATGCACCAGCTCCCCTACTAAAGAAAATCCAAGTACGAGTAATCCTGATGCATCCAAGGAACCCCATGAGATGGAAATCCATAATTCCCTCAGGTGATTAAAGAAACTATTTTATTGGTGTTATGAATTTTTATTGATCAGGCAAGTTCTCACTGGCGAAGAAACAGTTGATCTTTCTTGTCCTCTCTATAATTGATGTGTCTTCCTCAACATTTGCGAGCTGTTGAATCTCATGGGAA